CATTATTCGCAGTGATATTTTCGCGTTTTCTTGGCGTGTCTGGCTCGTAATATTTTTCTGGCGCTGTCTACTTTCATCTTTAGAGTAAATTATAGTTCCAAGCCTAAATTCAGTTCGTTTCCTAAATTTCAAATTTTAATTTTAGGATGCACGATTAAATTTTAGTCAGTATTCATCGATTTAGTTGTTTGCAGGAGACGAGAGCGAAGAAGTTTTTACGAAAAATTGTGAGGGAACGTGACGTCGAGAAATTTGCCAAAGATCATAGTTTTCGAAGAGGTCAGAAGTTAGACAACGGCAAGAGATCAAGCTAGCAAGTGTGAAGTTCGAGAGAGGCTAAAGAAAACGAGAACTTACGAGAGAGAGCTGCAGAAACCAAACGGGGTCAGGAAACAGTTTATAATAATAAATAATAATAATAAATAATACACAATAACAATAAATATCATCAATAATACTTACTAATTAACCCTAATTAATTCAGCCTAATGCACCAGCAAGCTCGTCAAAGTCAAGCTCAGGCTCAAGTTCAAGCTCAAGCTCAGGTCCAGCCTCACGAAGGAGCTATCGCGTTGAGTTCGAGCACCAGCCAGGCTTCGGCCGCCCTTTGTAGATCCTCCCTATCTCCGTCAAGTCTATTCACCACCCCAACACCGTCGTCTTCTTCAACTACTCATTTCAATGCCTCCCTACTGAATTCTTCGCATCAGTCACAAATCCCGAGCCAAACTGCTCAAGCTCAAGCTCAAGCTCAAGCTCGAGGTCAAGCTCAAGACCAGCAAGACTCTCAGCAGCAGTCACAAACGGCCATTCAACAACACCATCAACAACAACAGCAGCAGCAACATCAGCAATATATTCTATCGTCATCGGGTTGTTCGCTAAGCTCGTGTCTAGTCGGTTCACTGATGACCGGGAGCGAAGCTCAGGCTCAAGCTCAAGCTCAGGCCCAAGCCCAAGCTCAAGCTCAGGCCCAAGCTGGGGCTACAACTCAACCATCGAATTCGAATCAACTGAATCGACAGACTTTCCACAGTATCCAGAGTATTCAGTCTCTCCAAAATCTACACCAACTACAAACCCTGCAACAGAATCTTCAGGCCCAACATCAGGCCGCCCAAGCCCAAGCTCAAGCTCAAGCCCAAGCCCAAGCCCAGGCTCAGGCTGAAGCTCAAGCTCAGGCAGCCGCTCTGGTGGCTCAAAATCTACGATTAGCTAGTCGAGATCAACAGCAGCAGCAGCAGGCTCGAGATCAAGCTCGTGATCAGCAACAATCTGGTGATCGGCAGCAATCAGGCAGCAGCAATTCAACTGATCAGTCGGCAGGCACCGCATCAGATTCAGCACTTCAATCTCAACAGCAGCAGATGCAGCAACTCAACTACCGTACCCAACAACGTTCTCAGTCGCATCAACTCGCCGAAAGCCTAAATAATTCGTGCCGAAACCTGAATTTACTCCAAACCCAGTTGGCTCTAACCTCCAGCTCAACTAACAGTAATAATAATAGTAATAGTAATACTAATAATAACAATAACAATAATAATAGTAATGATAACAGTAATCTACGGATTACATCGCCAAGCAGCCTGTCCACCCCGTTAGCAGTGTCGGCAGTCTCGTCGGTAATTCGGTCGGCTTCAGCCGCTTCAACTTCAACCTCGACCTCAGGCTCAGCTTCTGGCTTGGGTTTGGGAGCGGCGACCTTAGGGTCGGGTCTACGTCTCGGATCAGGTTTGGGTTCGAGTTCGGGCTCTGGTTCGGGCTCGGGCTCAAGTGCCGGCTCGACGTCGCAAGCGCAGATCTTGGCAACGAGTCCAACGCATCAGCAGCATCATCACCATAATCATCAGCAAACAGCGGCGGCAAATATTGATCTGGCGAATTTTGGCTTTGGGGCATTTCAGGTGAGCACAAAACTTTCATTAATTAATTAATTAATTGATTCATTAATTTCATGTAATTCATGTAAATTCATTAATTTAAGGTTATATTTTAAGTTAGCTCTTAAAAATTAGCAGTCGCAGAGAATACAAATCGCAGGATTTATCTTTTGAAGCCAGCTCAAATCTCAGTTATATATCTTCTGGTTGATGCCCAATATGAATAATACATCGGATAATGAGTCTGTTCCGTTTCTGTATATCCATATCCATCTATATCCATGTATATCCACGTCCATATCCATCCCCATATCCATCCCCATATCCATCCATATCCATGCCCATATCTATCCATATCCACGTCCATATACATCCATATCCCCTTCCATATCCATCCATATCCACGTCCATATCCATCCCCATATCCATCCATATCCATGTCCATATCCATCCATATCCACGTCCATATCCATCCATATCCACGTCCATATCCATCCATATCCACGTCCATATCCATCCATATCCCCTTCCATATCCATGTATATCCACGTCCATATCCATCCATGCCCATATCCATCCATATCCATGCCCATATCCATATCCATATCTATCATTATATCCGCATGATCTCAATACCGCACACACACACATTTTGAAGGCTATTCAACCATTAATATAGTGTCGAGTTTCCGGCTCAGTTAAGGCTTAGGCTTAGGTTCGGCCTGCCTAGGCTAGCTAGCTGGCTGGATATAACTTCCGGCCAACCGGCTGGCAGTAAGCTTGCGGGCAGCGGCTGTCACTAATATGAGAGCCGTAGCTGTGTCTTTGACTAGTGATCTTTAAGGGCTTATTAAATGTGGACAGGTAGTCGGCTTGTTTACTTGTTTACCTGTTTACTTGTTTACCTGTTTACCTGTTTACTGTTTACCTGTTTACCTGTTTACCTGTCTACTTGTTTACCTGTTTACCTGTCTATCCTTTCATAATGTTACTGTTATTACTGTATATTACAGTACCATACCGTAGTGTACAATACAGTAGCCCAATGAAATCACTCCAATTAGCAATCATTATATTACTGTTTAACTAGGCGATTCCAAATTATATCCTGGATTCTACTTTGATTTAACTTACTAAAAAGTAAAGAATTGTACTGAACTGAATTACTTTATATTCCGTGATCACTAAAATCACTGATTACTGATCACTGCTTCAAATTTCCGATATGATCTCGATAGAAACTTCATTAAATCGCCGATTTCGATCGATCCATTTAAGTTATCGATATCTTATAGTGATATTACTCATTACTATTATTACTGTTTAATGTTTACTTTACTTTATTTAGCCTTTATCTAGTTTCTTAAGCTATCTTGATTCTATCCAACCAAATCATTAACAAACGCCATCACCATATAAGATGTTAGTGACATTGGCTGCTGAGTGAAATTTGAGATTGTATTGGGTAATTTGAGATTGAATTTGATCTTAGGCATGAGTTTCGATTTCATTTCGTTCGATCTGATCTATTTGAGTGGAGAAATCGCAAATGGCTTGATGGCTTAGGCTGGATTGATCTTGTATATCAAAGGCAAATCTATTACTTATGTAAATATAAACGAGTATACTTACTTGATGGAGTACTAACATCTGCCGTCTGTCATCAGTGATTTGGGCATATGTTGGGTGGTGGTGGGGTGGTTTGGTGGGTGATAGGTCGTGATTTTGATTTAGATTTTTAGATTTTAGTATTCAGATGGAATTGAGATCGTAGACGAAATATTTGCTGTTTACTTGTTTACTTATTTGTTTACTTGTTTACTGTTTACATGTTTATTTGTTTACTTGTTTACTTGTTTACTGATTTTAGTTCAGTGTTCAGACTGAATTGGTTTTTTAGACCATAATCTTGATCTCGATCTTAATTTTAGTCTTAATCGTGATCTCAGACTTAAGATTCTGTTTAGATTTAGCTTTCAGCTTTGTGTACGGTATCCAGTTGCCATTTCAATAGGAATTCCCAAGCGGAAAATGTATAGTGAGAAAAAAATTTTGGAAAAAATTGTTTTCAGCTATAAAAATTTTTCCAGAAATGGAAAATTATGTGAAAAATGAAAAATTTTCCAGTTTTTGTAAAAAATTTCCAGCTCGATTTCAGTTATCTGCATCAAATGTAGCTGCAGCAAACGGTATGGCACCCACAATGGCACAACAACAGCGCAATATCTTCTATCATGAACACGGCAGCCATAATCATAATAACAATAATAATAATAGCAGTAGCCAGGTAGCAGCTAATCAATCGATACCACAACTCAATGGATCAATCGGAGGAGGTTCGATTTATTGATTGATTGGTTTATTTATTGATTGATTGATTTGTTGATCACTCTTGATCTTGATCTTGATCTGTTATCATGCGCTGCGCCGCTCGAGATCATTGCTCACTGCCAGCTGTCACTTGGAGACCAGTGAAAGCTGATCATAACCGCCACATAGAGACCAGTCAAACCATTGATTTATTGATTGATTGATCACTCTTGATCTTGATCTCTTATCATGTTCGAAATCATTGATCACTCTTGATCCAGCTGCCACATAGATCACAGTCAAACAGTGAAACCTCCGATCAGGTAAGTAGTTAAGGCCTAATCCTAGATCAGTAATGAAGTATTTAGTTACTCATTTATCGATCTATTGATTGATTGATCACTCTTGATCTTGATCAGTTATCATGTGCTTTAGATCATTGATCCCAGCTGCCACATAGATCACAATCAAACCTCCGATCAGGCAAGTAGTTTAAGCCTAATCCTAGATCAGTAATGAAGTATTTAGTTGATGTTCATATTGTGAAGGATGTTAGTAGCCAGGCGAATAAAATGCCGGCCGCCGCCGTCGTCGTCTTCGCCATAACTGAATTTCCGCCTATTCAATCAAAGCAGCCCTAAATGTCTTTACTTTTACTCGTTACTCTTTACTTTACTTTACTTTTAAGAGTTAAAAAGTTAAGTTTACTCTGAATTGAATCAGTTGCTGAATCATTCAAATGATTGCGATGTTCAGTTTGCAGTTGATGTGTATGTCTCTTTACTTGAGTTGAGTTCACTTCAGTTTAGTGTTTGATTCGATTTTATTCGTTCGTGAATGTTGTGAAGACATTGACATTTTGATTTGCTGATGTATTGAATAGCTAGTTGGTTGGGTAGTAGGTGGGAAAGTAGGTGGGTAGATGGGTGGGTAAATAGATGGGAAAGTAGGTGGGAAAGTAGGTGGGTAAGGAGACGGGTAAGTAGGTGGGTAGGTAGGTGGTTAACATTATTCAAAATATTATATTCATGATGGATCAATCAATATTACTGGGGAATTTTTTCAATTTTTTAGAATTTTAGAACATTTTAGCAGCAATTAGGCTTTAATTAGAATAGGAAGTTGAATTGAAAATCAGTTGGAGGAGGTTCGATTGATTGATTGATTGATTTATTGATTGATCAGTTTTGATCTTGATCTGTTATCACGCGCTCGAGATTTCGAGTGTTTCATCGATTAAGGATGAATAATTTGTTGTTTTTGTAAATTGTGAACGTGAAAATTCTTCATTATGTACCAGTTATAAACTTATGCGATCCTTATCTTAAACCTCCCTACCCGTACGGGGTTTTCCCGTGAACTTTCCCGGGCTCTCAGTGTCCCCCTTAAGATGACCGCTTCCCACCTGTCTGGGTAGCATCCCATTTCTAACTATGTGCCTTCCCAGACAGCTTTAAGGGCTTGCTCCGTGTTATCCGTCTCCATCTCCGGCTCCAGCTGTCCAGTTGCCTTAAAATCAAGCAATCAGCTATCATAAAACTTCCCGCAAGCGCCGGTAAAAGTTACCCGTAAGCATGGGTAACTTCTGCTCGCAAACCAACAATACTTTTGCACTCATATAATAGCAGTATAATATTCACTCAAGTATATTCTACGTATTCAATGCAATGCTGCTGATTGGATAATCGGATGTTTAAGCATCCGTCGTCTCAACTAGCAGGATATCCCCCTCCTCATCTCCTTATATTTCCATCGCCTCAAACTCTCAAATCACTCTCTTAGCTTTGTCTCTATCATGAAAGTTCCCGTAAGCTTGGGTAAAATTTACCCATAATCATGGGTAAATTCCATTCAAACCAGTACTTTTGCACCCATATAATAGGAGTATACTTAGATTCACTCACTCAAGTATATTCTACGTATCGATGCTGATTGGACAATCGGAAGGATATCCCCCTCATCAACTCCTTATATTTCTATCGCCTCAAAATCTACTCTTTTGGCTTTGTCTTTCCATAAATTAAGATTATTTTATTATTGAGTAAATCAAAAGGCTTGATTTTACATTTTACACTTCGTTGGGAATTATTCACTAAATTAAATTTTCCAAATTTTTGACTGATCAGGACGAGAAGGCTTAAAAGATTGCTTGATTGATTTCCGCAGTCGAAAGAGAATCAAAAGATATCCGAAATCCGGGCATGATTAGGCTTGTGGCTGGTGATTGGATTTGGATTTGGGATTAGGATTAGGCTTGGGATTAGGTTTAGGATTAGGCTTGGGATTTGGATTAGGCTTAGAAGTAAGTAAGTAAAAGTAAGAGGAAATTTTAAAAATTGAATCGGCTGATCGAAAAATTTGGAAAAATAGTGATTTCAGTGATTTAGACTTGATTGATATGATGTGCTTGTTCATATAGTAGTTGTGGAATGAGGTGGTGAGCTGGGCCTGGAGTAGGCTCTCTTAGTGGGTGTCGAATTTGCCCAAGACTTTGAAACTTACCCGTAGGATACCCAAGGGCAAGGGTAAGTCTGAGGTGCGAAGTTTCAAATGAGCTAGATTGAAGTGCGATTGGAAGATAGGTAGTTTGAAGCTGATATTTGAAGTTGTAGCAGCCGTAATGATAATAATAATCTGTAATGTTGCCCAGTGGCTGGGAAACTCAGAACTGCCCGGGAATTAATGTTACCCGCAGTTCAGGTATGAATTTGAGTACGACGAACGCATTTCACCTGGCCACACCAAGTCATTCCAGCTCGTCGGCTGCCTCGTCGTCTTCGTCAGCTACCGTAATCAAAGAAGAGGTTCGTTGATTCGCTTGTTTTATCGCGTTACTTGCCCAGTGGCTGGGGAATGCCTGAATTGCCCGGGAATTTTCGATCGATAACTGATCGGTGACTGATCGATAATTGATCTCAGATCACCACAACCTTTTGATCTGCTTTCAGCCGCCGACTGCATTCAATTCATCGTCTTGCTTTAGCTGCCCGTCTCTACGATTGCCCACTTGCCATACCACACCGTTTGGTCAACCAGGTCTATTTTTCACTATTATTATTTATTATTATTATTATTTATTATTATTTATTATTATTATTTATTACTATTACTATTATTACTATTACTATAATCATAATTATCATTGTATTTAATATTATAGTTACTATTACTATTATTGTTCTTGTTATCAGTCACAGGTCTTTTTTTGCTATTACTATTTATTATTATTACTATTTATTACTATTACTATTACTATTATCATACTTATTATTGTACATTCTATTATAGTTACTATTACTATTACTATTCTTGTTATTAGTCACTGTAATATCGCTCTGATTTCGCGCTCTAAACCAAACAATCCAGTCAAAGCAATCACCTCAGTAATAAAATGTGACCATAATGCTATAATATATCATATAACTGCCTATAATTTCACTATATAATGACGGACCAGCCCATCGACCCTCTTACATAATAATATCTGCGATATCCATCCATCTCTATATCCATTAATCCGTCATGATATACCTCATTAAGGGATAATTACTCTA